GGTAACTCTAATCATAATAAAAGACTAGGAAGACAAGAGCAGAAGGATAAAGGGGTGGAACAGCCCAGAGAAATTAGCATTTCGGATTCGGACCCCATTGAAGGGAACAATGTTAGCAAATGCACAGAGCGACAATCCAAAGGTCTGAAAAAGAAAGTTTTCCCTTTATTCAATAGTATAAGCAGAAATGCCAAATTTACGGGCACCTCATCTCAGCAGAATATTTTGAAAAGGGGAAAAAGGTACAAATGGGCAGTGTTGAAGCACAGAAAGGACCAGAAGCATTCATCTAATTTGTAGGAGACCACTGAGAAATATGACAAATCAATACGGACCATGTGCAGGGGAGACTCATATGATAACTATTTATTGCTGCAGAACTCTAGACATCTAAAGGATTCTGGTTGCTATTCCATGAAGCAGACTACATGGAAACCTTTCACACATTCAAAATAGCTTTTAAAACAGTATTTTGCATTCTGGGGAGCTCTGGGTGCTTCACCTATGAAAATAAGTCTTTAAAGTTGGCAGGGAAAGAACCTTCTCCAGATGGAGGACCTGACGCTGAAGGAGGTGAGTTGACTTTAGGAACCACCACAAGAAGACTATCCGGCACAGCCACGGGCTGAAATTGCCTCAAACCTTAAAAGATTCTTAACTGTGCGTAACAGAGAATCTGAAGGTTGGCTGCGAGCTTACACCTGGCCCCAGGAGACTGTCATCAGCATTCCATGCCGGGCCTCAGAAAGCTGGGGAAAGAATTTTGCAAGCACAGGAAAATAGACAAATTTCTTTCCTTCGAGCCTAATCTGATGATTTAAATCTATCTATCCTAATGCCTCTCAGGTGTTCCAACCATCTTATGCCTTTTAAGAGCACTTCTGCAGGGAGTTAACACTAGCAACTTCTGTTCTGATTAAACACACCTGCCACAAAATAGCAGGTGCCTTCTGGCCACAATGAAATTCTAATAGGAAATTGGCAAAAGGTTTTGAAAGCTGCTGGGTTAAAACATCTCTTAGGTTTTCTTCGACTTCAGAGAAACTGGGGGAAAGTTTGTTTAGAATTTAATGTCCTTCAAACAAAGGCAACAGGATAATGTTAATATAGTGGAACTGCTGGCTAAAACAAAAATAAAAAGATTAAACAACTACCAAGGTTAAAGGGTAATTTTTCAAAAAAGGTTAAAATCATGCCTCTCATCAAATACAAAAATAAACACAAGTTTAAGATTTTATTTAACTCATTAATGAGGAAACTGATAAGATGTGACAATCAGCTCAAAGGAGAATTCAAACAGCAGACACATTTATAGATCTGGAAGAATAAAATGAATGTGTTAAATGAGACGCAAAATTCACCTTTTCCACAGTGGCTAGGGAAGTCAAGCGAACCTCTGTGGGACACAATTTCCACATCTACACCAAGAATTATTTTGTGTTGCTATCTGTTATCTACAACGTACAGAGTTATAAAACAGCTCTGAAGAATCAGAATTAGATAACATGAAATGGTGTGCTACTGACGACGCATAGTTTTCCACAGAAGCCCAATGTTTTCCCTGCACAGGTCGCTGACCATCCTATTTATTGCTGCATTCCCAAAACCTGGTACAGGGTAGATGCCCCACAAATACTTGATAAATGGATAAATGTCTACTACGTATCAGGCATTAAGCCCGGCCCTTCACATGCATAATCCCATTTAATCTTCCCAACAACCCTTTAAGATAAAGATTATTCTCCTTTCACTAATGAGCAACTAATTTGTGTGATGTTGTACAGCTATTACTTGTTAAAGACTGGAGGTGGGGGACAACGGGGGAGGATCTGACTCAGGTCTATGACCAGAAAGCCCATCTTCTTTTTCTTTCCATTTAATATATGTTCTTTTTATTTACCATCACTGTACCATCTGCCTCTAAACTAAGGGACTGTTTATATGTTACATTGACATAACATGCTTCTTTGATGAGTATGATATTAGAGATCCTTACTTGAAGAAAAATAAATGAATAGCAGTACTCAGGAGAATCGAAGCATAAATGAGAGACACATGAACGTCTTTACTGCAGCCTTGCAGATAAGCACAGGATATTTACCAGCCCACTTTTCTGCCCCCGTTAGGTACTCATATCCCAATTTTCAAGATAAGACAGATGAATTCAGCACTATTTGTGTTGTTTGTTTTCATAGAAATCAGAACAGCACTTTGGAAAACAGCAGTAGCTAACATTCATTGCATGCTTACTATGACTGTAAACTATTTTCACAGCAACAGTACGAGGCGTGTACTATTATCACCTCCTTTTTACAGGTAAAGAAAGCTGAAGTGCACTGAGTAACCTTCAAAAAATCACACAGCTAAGTTGCAGCTCTGGGCTTTGACCTGGCACTTGTAACCACTGCCCTGCCCTCACCCACAGTCACTCTACTGTCTGCATAGGCTGTTGAGGCTTGCTCCTTCATCACGTCTTGATTTTTAACAAACCTCCCTGCCCTGTTTATCACAGCCTCCAAGAGTACTAGGATGCTCACAGCTTCTAGCATCATGGGGCTGGTAACTGCAGGCTAGCTTAAGTCCTGAAAGCGATTTTCTGGCCACTTGGCACTTGTCATCATTTGAGATTTTTACATTCACCCTTGGAGAGGCAGGGGCAAGAGAATACACAGAGAGAATAGTCTTCTGAGGCCTCGAATAGGTGAAGGTCAAAAAGACGTGGGCCAAATGTTAATCTGAAATCATTCTCTTTTTTCCCCTAAGTTCCCAAATAATTCCCTGCTTTCTTTTTTTACCAGAAAACAGGCCACCCTTAGAATGAAGGAGTGGCAGATATGTTTTTAGATACCTCCAGATGAGTCTTGATATGCAAGGCACAATGCTGGCATACTGTAGAAGGTGTCAATAAATGGTTGACTGAGTGGTTTTCTTACGTTATTTCATTTAATCTTCACCATAACTCTGAGACAGGTATTATTATTATCATCTCTATTTTGGAGATGAGGAAGTGAGGTTAGATAACTTGCTCAGGTTAAGCAGCTTGCCCAAGATCCCCAAAAGGTTGCGATTTACCAATACCAGCGGTGTTTCATGAAGACCAAGTATGCCACCAAAAGCAACATGACAGCTGTTTGAAACCCCTTTCCTCATGTCACTTAGCAGAAAGCCTTGGGAAGTAGTACCATTTCCTCCCTAAGCATTGAAGCATGAGATCTTTATTTCTGAGAGGCGTAATGCTCACCCTCGTCATTATAAATGCTTACCCTTCCCTCAAGGGTATCTCATAATTCCCATCCCTAATAAAAGATAACACTACTTTCAAATAAGATTGTGAAAAAGGCTTTGCCATTACTATCATACAGGCGTTAAGAAACATTAAGCACACATTATTTGATGAAGGCTACCATAATCAACCAAACGGTTACTGATTGATTACTTTTAGGGGTGAAATGACTGACTCTGTATAGAATTTTCTTATATTCTTAAGGGAGGGACTAAGAAAAAAAATCTAGACACTTGGAATCTAAGCTAAGTTCTGACATTGCCTTCAGGATTTCAGGAATTTCATCCAAAAGGGCTGTTATCTCTAGTTGGAGTGAGAAAGAAAGGGCATTAAAGATCATTTTTATACTTGAATTAGGAGGATCTCTCTGTTAATTCAGCTTGAGATACATTTGAGTGTGTTCCTTACATATTTAAACATTACCAACTTGGTCAGCAGGAATCTATGATAATCTAGCTCAGTGTTTTTTAAACATTATTTAGTATTAGAACCCTTTTTTCCAAATCAAATTTTCTGTACAATTCAAATACATAAAATAGACATAAAGGGAACTGCTTTGGTTGACATACTCATCTCAACCAAATCTTGTCCCTTTGGCAGCCTCTAGGGCACCCAAGGGCTCCATGGAACACACTTTGAAAACCACCCATTAAGTCCTGCCCTGGGGAGGTGTGATCTACCCCAGATCTCAAAGCTACAGGGTAAGTGCTGAACCGCAAAAATAAATACTTTCGGCTTAACACGCCCCTTTTCAAAGTAATAGGAGGGAATAGAATAGAGAGAGATTAAAATTTCTGAAGATAGAAAGTATGAGTTTAAAAAGAGGCTTGGCATCTAGAGTGCTGAGCTACTCAAGAGCAAGTCACTTTCCCACTAGAGTGTCAGTCTTCTCTTAGAAAAAAGGAAGATTCTGGAATAGCATCAGGACTTAACATTTTTTCCCCCCTGAAGCACAGTTTTGGTGCACAGAGCATGTTCCTCAGTCCTATCTTTCATCACAGTGTTTGCAAAGGAGGAGGGATGGAGGAACGTTGCCCACATACAAGCAGAATCTCAGGGTGGCAGGGCAGGTGAGGTCTGGAAAAGACCCCCTTCCTCTGATGGGATTCATGGTGGACCTATCCAGTCCTTTATGCCCACCCCATACTCCAATTGAGAGACTGGACCCTAAGGGCTTTTACAGTCATTTCACCGTCATATTTTCTGCTTCCAAGTGCTTCTTGACCTCCACATATAATACTCAAAGCCCCTTGATCTAAATGGAGTCTTAATTTGTGCTTTGAAGGTATTCATCTTAGGGGCAGTGGGTTAGGATTATTATATTCAATTCATACTTTTCCTATTTAGAAATCTTTTCTACTTAGAACATCTACCCTACTGATCCAGTAACCAAGTTACTTTGAAAGGCTTTTTCCCTTTCTTTTGTCTAGGATTGGTACACTGTTATTTTCTCTAGAATCTCCCAGTCCCTTACCCTGATTACCACATACTTCTGTACTGGACACTCAAAATCCGTGGTTCTCTATAATAACCATTTATGCCTGTTAAGGAGTGTGGCTCACGTGGTTCTGCAATTTATCACCCCTTTTAAAGTCAACTCATGCCAGAAAATTTCAGCAGGAAGATCATATTTCTTCCTGCTGAAGAAAGTATGGGAAAGGCCATCGTCAGGGGACAGCGAGAGGGAGTGAAATATTGTGGATACTGCATACTTTACCAGTTATGTCATGCTGTTTGAATGACTCACTGTAGATCTGATACTGATTGGGACAATGTTTCTTCAACCACTTGCAGACATCCTGCTGAGTCCACAGAGCCACTGGTTTTGACAGCTTCACCGTAGCTGACTACAAATAAAGAAGGAAAAGAAGGTCTGTTAATGCCAGCCCCATGCCTAGAAAAGCACTACTGTTAGAAGTGCTAGAGTAGGGTAAAAGCTACAGATTGGATTCCCCAAAGATAAATATCTGGCTCTTGCCCTCTTCCTCACTCTGCAGACCTTCTCCATACCTCCGGAAACCAGAAAGAAAAGGTCCAAGTGAAGAAGACCATGAAAATTACACTTGTTCTTGAGTTATCATCTCTACTGGGAAAAATCCCCAGGAAGTAGAGTATTCATCAGAAAACACTAACAACGAGACAATGGGGTGCTAAGCAATTAATCAAAATTTTAGAGATGAAATACCTGTTCCCAAGTGGCCTTTCTCTGTATTCCAGGAAAGCGTCCATTTCTTGTCGTCCTTTGATATCACTAGGGCCTAGTACAACTGGGCCCAGCGGGTGCTAATAGTTAGTTTAGGAATGGCTGTTATAGGATTTAGATACCCGCATACTAAAAAGTACAAGTCGGCCTAGGGGCTCTGGACTTAGGGAGGTCCTGTAAGTCTAGGAATTAGTTATGCCACAGCGGGGAAGCAACAAGTCAATTCGGCCAGCAGGTGGGGGGAATGGTAATAAGATAATGGGTTAGCTAGACTTTATGCAGAAGCCAACTAGCCAAGGCCTTTTATTGCTCACTGGATCTTTCAGGGAGGTGTTTATGCAAAACAAAACAAAACATAGAGGTGCAGAGGACCCAGCCTTTGACAGATAGTAGATTACAAATACATGCATTAACTAACAAGCATCAACTCAGTGCCAGATGCTGGTCTTCCTCATGGATCCCAGGAACTTGTTTGAGGCAGATGAAAGCTACCTATGATTTGTATCATTCTGGATCAGCCTTTGCCAACAAAATAGGATCATAATATTGATAGTTCTTTAAAGGATGTTGGGTGGCACACAGACCTGGCCTTAAATATCATTGACCTTCTCACTAGGAATCATTCTCTTTCACTTCTCTTTCAAACTTTCAGATTAAGGCAAGGGGAGAACCTCGACTTTTCATGATTTAACATCTTTCTAACATCTGCTAACATGTTTTTTTGCCAAAGAGAGGGCTCCCTTCAGCCTCAGAACCTTCATCGGAAAGCAACGTATCTACTTCTAACAACTGTTCTGTTTTACTTTTATTATATTTAAAGTTGCTTTTATTTTATGCCAAATAAATTATGGCAAAAAACAAATTTTATTTTCGGCAGTAATATCTAGTTTGCTTTTAAAACAGATTTGAGTAAAAAAAACAGATCAATTTTAACAAAAAAATTAAGGAAACAACAGTATAGATGGTAACAAGATAATAGAAGTGACATGCAGGTGATTCAAGTTTAGAAAACAGTGCTCAGGGGTTATTTTCATTAGTATATTTTCAATTGTACTACTCTTTGGGCCATCACTTACAAAATAATCACAAACAATACTTATCACTTTTTACTTTGTGTTGTGGTAACTTATTTCTTTCACTCTTATGGTAGATTGTATTTTCCAAAGATGATTTTATATATGTACATACACACACATACACACACACATCTGCTTTGCATTCATTGCGACTGGCATTCTCCTCCTGATGTTTGGGGTTGATATTCCCTCCCCTTCAATTTCAGCAGGGTCTGTGACAGTACTGGCCAACGCAGTCCAGGGGAACTGATGCTGTCTATGTGACTTCTGAGGCTAGGTCATAAAAAAGATACAGCTTATGCCTGGCTCACCCTCTCTGGCATTCACCTTTGCAACCCAGCCACCATACTGTGAGGAAGCCCAGAACTCATGAAGAGACCATGTGTAGGAATTTTGGCTAATCCCCTAGCTAAGGTCTCAGCTAACAGCCACCACCAACCCTACCAACTATCAGACAAATGAGTAAACAAGCTTCAGATGATTCCAGCCACCGGCCTTTGAACCTTCCAGCTGAGGCCCCAGACACGGTGATGCACAGACAAGGCATCCCTGCTGTGCCCTGGGTGGATTCCTGACCCATATAATCCATGGGCATCATAAACAGTTGTCTTCCACCACCAAGTTTTCGGGTAATTTGTTTTGCAACCCTATAACTGGAACACCAAGTCATATGCTCAGTGAGGATAGAACTGTTACACTGTGCTCCCCAGAGTGCCTCACATTTAATAGATGCTCTATGCAGCCACGATGAGTAAGTGAATGAATTAATGAAATGAAACCATTCTCACTGAGTCTGTGCTCACAGGCCTGCCTTACTATTTAATCAGCAGTGAGTTTCTTTGCTGCTCTCCACCCACTGGGTGTTGTGCTCACATGGCTCCTAATCACACTTGTCAGCCTCTTCCTTCCACCCTACATCCTCGAGTCACAGGCTGCCAGCCATTTTCCCTCTAACCTCTGTGTACAATCATATCAATTGCTTTCTTAATTTTGATGAGAGAGGAGGACCTCTGGTAAGGATGGTGCAAGTGAGTAAATGTTTTGTTAGCTTTTCCCTTTTTGCCTTTTATCACCCTCCTTTCCTTTGCATGATTAGGAAGCTAGAATTTTGGCTCTTTTAGCTAGAAACAAGTCAGCACCTCTGAATCTGGCTCCTTCCTGCTCTAAAAATTTTCCTTCAGATGAGCTGAATGAGTTCATAGCTGACACATCGTTACCCTGACTGAAACCCCTTGCAAGTTTCTTGCAAGTGAAGCTAATCACATCTTTTGAAAACTCCTATAAACCAGTCACAGAGCCTATAAATCAGGAAGGGAAAGGCAAGAGCATAAAGTTGCTTATACATCAATATACTAAAATTTCCTGGAAGGTCATTCTTTACCTTGCTCATTTTCTGGGAAACAGAGCACCCTCACACCAAGACAAGCCCATTCAACTGGAGACTCAGGTGGAGATTAACCCAAACATGCCAAGTCAACTTGTTACCGCCTAACTGCCCCAAGTAACTCAAAGGAGGTTTCAAAAGCACTTTGTTTCTCAAAGTTGTTTTTTAGTTATGTTAAGAGATGCAATCACCAACTGCCCTGAACTGGTCCAAACCCCACCGCAAGAGCGATGCTTGTGCAGACAGGCTGAGACTTGTCTAAAAGTTACCTTCGCTTCATTTTAATGCTAAGATCTCTGCCCCAGGAGGAGCTTAGGCCTTATTACCATAACATGCATTGTATGTGGGAGCATGTTTTCAAACTGCACCTGTGCAAGCGATTACCCATCTCCACATGTGATGACAAAATTTCCCTTTTGAATCTTCATTCCCCATCCGAAATAAAAGGCCCCTGTTTTCCTTTACTCGGAGAACCACGGCTTTGGAAGTAATTCCCTGTGGTCTCCTCATTTGCTGCAAATAAATTGTACTTTGTGTGACAACTACTGCTGGTGAAGGCTTTCATTTCACCTCACCATGAAGTGAACACACTTTGGTTCGGTAACAAACTCACGACGCATCCTCACCAGCCTACCATGCATGCTTTTGTTATAAATTTCCCTTTATTATAATTTCAGGTGTTCTGAGGCTAACACTCAAGGTGTTACTTCACTTTTCCTTCAGAATACACTCTCACTAAGTACTAATTTAGTATCACTTGCTTGAACAGCAGAAAAATCAAAGCTCTAGGCAGATTTTTAAGACCATATGAACCTACAGGGATATGCCTCCATGTAAACTGGTATATCAAAATGGGGAGGGATAGAGATTCCTACCATTTATAAGCACTGTTTGTCTCTTCTGAATCAGATAGTGATACAAGTCTTGGCCCCATTCATCAGCTGATTCTTAGCCTTGGCTTTAGCTATGTAATTGTTATTAGTTTGCTACACATTAACTTGTATGACTCCATAATGACTCCAGTTCCCCCAGTCTGGTGCTGCTTTTTGGATTCTCAGAGCAGACTTTCATTTGTTCTGCTTGAACTTCTCTTTGCGTAGCACCCCAGGTCAACCTCAGTTACTCCTCCTTCTAGCATGATGCCTCCCATCCCCAACAACCACCATGTTTTGCGAGTGAACGCCATAACCTGATCCTTTAAAGAGCTTAAACTTTATTTGTGTGTGCAATTTGGAACAAGCGTATGTTCAACTCACATCAATCTATTTATCACATTGTCCCACAGGAAGTTGCAGAGTTATCAAATTTTAATAGCTCCATAGTGTTATTTCAACCACCCTCCTTTCCTCTGCCACCCAACACTCACACCTCTCTTTACACGCAACTAGAGAGTTGATAATTTTCTCTAATATGCTGCATGGTTTTTTTCCCCACAGTAGGAGCCTAAACCAAAATAATTTCATAAAACAAAGAGACAGTATTTCATATTTATTAGAAACAGTAAACTAATAAAAAAAAAATCCTGCCCAAAGGCAAACATTAAAAAAACATTTGCCCCAGTTCTCTTTCCCCATGCTCAGGTACATCATTCTTTGGATATACAATGCTAAAGGCAATTTTGGTTTGTTTTGCTGCCCTGAAAGAGGCTGGAGGCAGTTTGTTATCTTAACCCCCATGCACTGTGACACCAAGCAGAATTCCAGGCGTTTCTTTTATGAAGTGGTCCTGGCCTTTCTATAGATAAGCTGAGGGCACATTTTTAAAGTCTTTAATTTCTGTTTTACAGGGAGGTCTCACTTTATGAAAAGACACATTGGGAAGGGTTGTTTGCAAATTACTTTTTTTATGCAAATGATTCCTATTTTAATTTACCCATATACAATAATTTCAGCTATGTTTTATAGTAATTTTTGATTTATATTTAACTGAAAAGAACTCAAGTTTTAAGTTCTTTCAGGTAAACTTGAAGATTTTCTGCTAAGTAATAAAAGACTCTAAAGAAAGTTTCATATTGAAAGAACATACTACAAAACGCTTTTAAAGTTAAATTTTATTTGTAATTCAATTATCCATTAACTGTTTTGCAATATAAATTCTCTTTTAATTTTATGGGTTTTGATTTATAAAAAAACACTGCAATTTTAAGCTCCCAATGGCTGTACAAAGTCTTAACTAGGTAAGCTT